TGAGCAATAAAATACCAATGAGCATGGAAAGCATGGAGAGGGGAGAAGAGAGAAAACAGGAAGGCCCCAAACCTATGAAAACAACAATTCAATACTTTCCCATCAGACCGTGGCACTGGGACCCATTCTCTTTTGCCAAATCTGTTACTTTGTTCATTTTGCTCTTGTTCTTGCTTAWTCTCTTTGTGTTTTGTTCTTCAATTCTTCACTGAATGGAGACAATGAAACCGAGACCCCTAGACAGTAACAGATAAAGACAGAGAAAAGTTTCAAGGCCAAACTTGGCAATGGTGAGGATACAGAAGACTCTTAAAGTTATACTCTGAGTTGAGGCTGGATGTGGAATTTTAATTGAAAGAGGTCAGTAGAGAATTACAGATAAGAATCAAAGATAGGTTATAAACAAGTTCTTAGTGTGTAAATGTAATATAAATGGGGATATATCTGCTGAGATAAATATAAATTATATAATATTTTATCTTATATAGATGGAGGAGTGAAAACCAAAGGAAGGCTTTATTTTGTGTATGTGTATAAATGCACACCACCACCCACCTGTGAACAATGACCAAAATAATTTTCTTGTGTTAAAACTTGATCATGCTGTGGAAGAAGGATACCAGACTCTTTTCAGACTGGTTTATTGGGGCTGGCAAGTGCAGGGTCAGCAAAAGCCAGGAACAGGGACACTCCCAATGAAGTCAACACCAAGTAAGGACACAAAACCAGAGACAGCAGTAGACAGGYTGAGCAAGATCTCTTCAAAGTGTTTTCACTACACTCACAATCAACAAACAGGACCTCATCTCTAGTCACCAAAAGGCATATGTTTTTTTTTTTTTTTTTTCACTATTCACCAATTCTGTGGCAGACTTTTCCCTTGGTGTCCAACTGTTTGACTCAATTCTCACCCATGATACCCCAAACCCCCATGTTAGCATTCAATTAATCATCTAGCATTGCTCTGCCATCTGCCTGGACCTTGTTGTTTGTTTGTTTGTTTTTTGGTACTGTGTTCACTTAAACACAGCAACATCCCCAGCCTTTTAAGTTGCTGAAGCTGGCTTTGAACCTTTGATCCTCCTGCCTCAGTCTCCCAAGCTGCTGGAATTACAGATGTTTTCCACCAGCCCCAGCAGTCTTTTTTTTTTTTTTTTTTTTTAAATAACAAATACTCAAGCATAAGTAAATTGTTTCCCTCAGGGTTTTGACCCCTCTAGCAAATTAACAGGGCTTGAACAGAAGGTCATAATTTATACCTGCTAAATGAGAAGTAGGTCCTACCTGGGATATAGGACTGGCACCTGAAGTAGGGAGAACACTGTGGAATAGAACCCCCAAACTGGCATCTGATGCCTTCTATCTCCTGGGATTGACTGTCAGATCTAAAATTACAGAATGTTGTGTTGACATGTGACACAGAACTGCTTTGCTGATAGGGAGAAATTGCCACACATTTAGGTGACAAGAGTTGAAGAATTCTGTGCTGGGTTGTATTCAGAGTGTGAGTAGGAAGATCACTTTGGCCGGCCCCTCCTATCTCAGACGCTCCTGACACCACTCCATGYATCAGGAAAAGGGAAGAAGATGACCCCAACTCCAGGAATCCAGTCACTGCCTTCTGGCTGAACAAAGAAGCTATTCTGCAATCCCAGTAATTTTAAAATACACAAACTTCATAGATAATAGTTTTGTAATTTTCTTCCTCATCTCTACGGTTAAAACCCACGAATTTTGAACTTGTTAGATTATTAAGATGAACCAATGTATCAGAACTTCATCATCCACATTCTATCGACTTCCACTCATCTTTCTTTCTTTCTTTTTTTTTTATAAGGACACAATACCTTTATTTCACCTATTTATTTTTATGTGGTGCTGAGGATCGAACCCAGGGTCTCGCACATGCGAAGTGAGCGCTCTACTGCTGAGCCACAACCCCAGCCCCCCCCCCACTCATCTTTCTTCATTACATTTTCCCCCTCCCTCATGCTTTACTTGTGTCATTCTTACCTTTACTCCCCACCCAGGTTTCTGTTCCCCACTTTATTTCCCTTTCCTCTCCTTTAGTTTATCCACTTCTTTTCTCTATTCTCTCTCTTTTTTAATTTGTTGTTTTTAGGTATACATGACAGTAGGGTATATTTTGACATATTATACATACAGGCTGTACAACCCACTCTAATTTTGATCCCACTYCTGTGGTTGAACATGATGTGCAGTTACACTGGTCATGTATTCATATGAGTATAGGAAAGTTATCTGCCTATATCTACAGATTTTCCTATTCTCATCCCCCCTCAATACCCTTCAGTCCCCTTTGTCTAATCCAATGGACTTCTATACTTCCCTTCCCTACCCTCCCTTGTTATGGGTTAGCAGCCACATTTCAGAAAGAACATTCGACCTTTGGTGTTTCAGGACTCGCTTATTTCACTTAGTGKGATATTCTCCAGTTCCATYCATTTACCAGCAAATGCCAACATTTCATTCTTCTTTATAGCTGAGTCCTCTCCCATTGTGTATACATAGCCCATTTTCTTTATCCTTCCACTGGTTCTTCCCCATTTTGAAACTTGTTTCTCCTCTTGTCAGTCTTTTACCCTGGTCTTTCCACTGTCCAAAGTCTTCACATATTTCTGACTCTTTCTTCGCCCATCCATATTTTCCCTGTGCCCTGACTGTTGCAGTCATCTGTCCCCATGCTCAGGACCCCTACTGCCCTAGGTTTTCTCTCTTAAGTGCTCCTYCCTGGGGTCTGTCCTGGTTCTGTCCTAGAGGAAGAACCTTCCGTCTCTCCCGGCACTGCCTGAAGTCCTTTCCCCTCACTGTTCTTTTCCTTGTGCTGCTCTCCTTCATCTTTCTGGAGACAGAGATTCTACATTTTTCTATTTGCTTTTCTCTCACCTGCAACTTTCTGTCTTCTTTTTTCACTCTTGCTATCACAAATCCCTCACCGTCCTCCACTTTCCGGTGTGTGTAAGGGTCTTTCTCTTTTCTCTTTATCCAGTTTCTCTCAGTTATCTTTTTTTTTTTTCCCACGCACTCCCAGGGAAGGGGATGGAGAGAGAAGCCCACTTTGGGAGGAACATATTTTCCCCTGGAGTGAAACATGGGATCAGTCAAGGTCGCCAYCCCAAAATGCAAGGGGAGACTGCAGAGGGATGGATGATCTGCGAAGCCGACAACTGACCAAGGAGGACAGAGCCCAGGATGGGTGAGAACGCTCCTCTCAGGATGGATCTGCTGTGCTCCCTGCRGGGCCAAAGAGAGTGAGATGTGGGGAAGATCTGCCCTGTGTGGAAGGGGACGCCACCGAGGACTGGAGGAGGATACCGTGAAAAGGGACGCGTCCACGTCYACGCAGCCCGAGGGCAGACGTCAGGCAGGACCCGGGCAATCGTGCCACACGCTGACCTCTGGCTGTGGGCAACCACGCAGCCCATCTACAGCGTCTACACAGAGAACTTCGGGCAGCACCGGGACCCTCTGGGCACTGTCTGCTCAGGGGCCTGCTTGGCTGCGCGTGCAGCCGGGAGGAAGGAGGGAGTGGCCAGGGCGGGAGCGCGGGAGAGAGGCGGGGTCTGCGAGGGGCTGAGGCAGTGGGTGGGGCCAGGCGGAAAAATGTCACCTTAAACTGCATTTCCGGTCCTCACTGGAGGCCTGAGCTCCGCGGCACCAGCACCGCTGCCCCGTAGCCCTGCCCTGGTGGGGCCAGCCCCTGKAGCAGAGTTGGCGACCTTGCTACCAGGGACGCGCCCAACCTGGCCAGAGCCACTGCAGAATCCGGAGGCGGCGGGAGGGAGTCCGCTGGGGGCGAGGCCGGCGAGACCGAGACCTCGGGTTTGAGCAGCAGCCTGCAAGAGACTTTGCGCGTTCTGTGAGCCACTGCATTAGTGGGGGAGCCTTTCCTTTGACTTGAGCAATCAAAATATTCTGGATATAGGGGTTTAAATTATTACAATTGATCTCAGCTGTTCTTTTTAATTTTTAATGTGAATACTAGAAAATATAGAATTACACTTTTGTGTGTGTGTGTGTGGGGGGGGGGTGTATCTTTGACCTCAGGGAATTGCTGACATGTTCAAAGCTCAAACTGCTTTCTTATAAGATCAGAGAGCAGAAAAATTAAATAAAAATTTAAATTGTCATCATTTCATTTCCATTCATGAATAATAGATACAAATATRTATTCTCAAATTGATATGACCTTATATCCAGTGAAATATGAAAATGCGCCACTGTCTGGGCTACATCCCACTATTGGGAGGAAACTGCCTTAAAGTAACTCCATCCCAGGCACTGTATGCAATTCACAGCAACTCAAAAGAAAAAAGAATTCCAGGGGCAGTGGTGCATGCTTGTAATATTAGTTACTTGAGAAGCCATCACAGGAGAATTTGAGACTCTGTCCAAAATTTAAAGTGTGTGTGTGTGTGTGTTAGCACAAATGATGCACATAGGACCAAGATGGGAGATGGGAAACAAACCCTGGATCAGCGGACTTTTCTTTTTTAGGTATTCAGAGGCGGAGTCAATTGGTGGAACCCTGGCATGGCTCATTTGGGGGCGCAGAAAATGGCGAGGGTCTAAAGCCAGTGTCTGAGTTATAGATGCTTCCTTTAGGGTGGGACAAGAGGTCAATTCCTGGAGTGTATTGGGGTTCCACTTATTCATTAGGGTGGTTCAGGAATGTGAATAGGGCATTTCTTGGAGCTTATKGTATTGGGGTCAGCTGACCCATTAGGGTGTGCTGGTGGGGTGTCAGGTGCCAGTTCCTTTTGTGTTCCTTCACAGTGACTAAGGCCTGGGATTTTAAATGAAAGAAACTTAGGGAAAATGTCCTTGGACTTATTCTCCATCTCTCTCTCTCTATCTGTCTATCTATAGGGGTTCAGTAGTAGAGTATCCATACTTCCACTTCCTAATCTGCTACAACAAAAAAAGGATCAGCCAAGAACCTGTCATTCCAATTTCATTCAGTCCTGGGTTGTGATACCCAYGATAAGAATCTATCAGGGCCAAGATCCGTTTTCCCAGATGTGAGAATTGAACATCCCAGAAACCAAGGTAAGTGTGGAAAGCAAGTTTTATTTAAAGTATGGAACAGAGATAGACTTCTCTGCAGAGCAGGGGTCCCAGAACTGGGTGTCAGGGGAAGTGGTGGTGTCCTGCCCCTTTTGTTCTCATGGCCTCTTCTCCCAGCATCCTGCTTACTAAGACCAAAGGCCAGAAAGTGGGCCAAAGGTGGAAAGATCCAGACAGGAAGCTAGTGGTCCCAGAGGCATTAATTAACAACTCCAATAACTACCTGCAGAGAGGAACAGTTCCCTGGTGGAAGGCCACCTTGGCAACAGGTAGAGGAGGGAAAAGTGCTCTGGAGGTTTTGGCATTTCATTTCCTCCTGAATCAGCCTCCATCTTTCTGACCCAATCATTTATTACCATATCGACTACCTATTTGTGTCCCCTCCGGTTGGATGCAATCTACTGTCCCTCAGAAGTTAAGCTAACTAGGCTCAGTGGGGCCTGAAGCCCTGTCCAATCTGGCACTTGAGTGAAGACTCTCCAGTTCATCCACAGCCTATTGAAGTGGGGGCGGGCTTCCATATTCTGATTAAGTCTTTGTGTCTGGATCCCTCCATTCTTTCAATTCTTTTCTAGACATCCTCCTCTATGCTCAGGAGACCCAGGTTTCTGTGCTATACAAGTGAGCAACCTGAAAGCCAGGAAATGGTGAGTGTTCATTCATTGGCATTTTGAGACAGGGCAGGGAGGCAGTTTGAAGCCAGCCCAACTGGCAATGACAGAAAGTGGAAATTGTGGCTGGAGATTCCTGGTGGTCCTATCCAGAATCTGACAGCCTGAGGGCTTCTCTGTGGCAGCTAAGCTCTTAGGCCCCTCTGAGCAGTCTAGTGGACTCAGGTCAATACTTGAGATCCTGGGTGTCCTGTTCCATTATTGGATGGTACTTTTCAGCCCCTTTCTGAAGCCCTACGTGGGCTTCAATGTTCTAGTAGCTCAGCATCTCCCCAGATTTTGTGGTGAAGACTGGGATAACCTTCAGGGGAAAACCCAACTCCATGGGTTATGTTCTTGCATGAGAGAAGCTGTGCTTTGTAGGAGCTTGTTTTTATTTTGAGCTTTTGAACAACCTTAATATGTTTTAAAAAACATGTTTATTAAATTTGTCACCAACATTTGGATATACTCGTAGGTTCTCGAGTAGCTATTATCTTTCAGATTTTGGTTTGGTTTGGTACTAGGAATTGAACCCAGGGGTACTTAATTACTGAGTCACATTCATAGCCCTTTCTATGTTTTATTTTGAGACAGGGTCTTGCTAAGTTGCTTAGAGTCTCACTAAGTTGATGCAGCTGGCTTTAAACTCATGCCTCTCCTGCCTCAGCCTCCCAAGCCACTGGGATTACAGACATGCACCACCTCACCTGGCTCTTTCAGATTTTTATATAGATATTCTAACAGCACTGCCCAAGCTGTAGGAAATCTATTTGACTGGTGCATTAAATCCCTGATGCAAATTTATGTCAAGTAGCCAGTGGAGAAGTGTTTTGTAAAGCTTTTCTGGGAATAAACAGGGCTCTGTGGTTTCTAACCCTTTTTTGTACTACTGGTGGGGATCATAGTCCACAAAATTGCTGGCAAAACAATGTAAATTCATTTGTTTGCAACCTATGAAGATTTGCACATGCTCTGTCACCTTTGCTTCCAGAATTGGGAACTTCAGAATATAGTAACTTGAACAAAACAATGTTAAAGTTGAGACATTTGGTGCATGAACAAACTCCTTTTAAAAGCAGTTTGGTAGTCCTGGGGTTATTACCGGGGCAAGTAGTGATGAAGCAGAGCCCAGCACTGTTTGCTTAGGCTATTAGTGGTTTACTGTATTTTCCCCTGTTAAACCCACAATTCAAGCTAGAGAGAAGCTAATCTGCCAGCAACAGCAGTTGGCAAAATATGCTGGCAAATGTCTTTTAGAGATAAACTGACACCTTTGAGATTTGGCTATTTGTCTGCCTTGATCCCAGCTATTAAAGCACTTGGAAAGACTCTCAAGGCCATAAAAAATCACAACATTTTCAGTGGTTCAGAGACTTTTGTATCACTTCTCCCCCATTTCTGTTTACTGAGGTTGATGCAGGCTGTTGGGGATTTGGTCCCAAACATGGTACTTTGCTCAAGACAGGGTGAATGCCCAAGTGTACCCCAGCTTTTCCTACTCATTGAAGATAGATATTTTCTAAATTGTTCAAAGTATCTAAGTCTCTCAATGCATTTACAACTGTCAAAGTGGCTTGACAGTCATAAATGCATTGAGAGACTTAATGAGTAGCTTTTAATTAACTGTATTTATAGATGGAGGGAATGTCTGGAATTTTAATATTCTGCTTTATTTTTAACATCATGCCCATTTATCATTTGCCTTTTCTTGTGATGCTAAGGTTTGAACCCAGTACCTTGAGACACTTGGCAAGGGAAAACTTTCCTTCCAGAAAAATATTGGCAGTTCTGAAATTTTTACAGGAACAAGCTAGAGATTGGAGCTCATTAAGTGCTAAACACTCATAAAGACTCCAATTGGTACAATGTATTTTTCTCATTTTAACTCTGATGCAGGCTAGAGAGTAGCTCAACTGTCAGCAACATTAGTTGTCAGATTACCCTAGCAAATCTCTTCTAGATAGAAGCCTAGTCCTTCGAGATTTAACTTTTCGCTCCTRATCCCAGGGATTGAAGCCCACAGTCACACTTACATGAACATAGAAAACCATCACTTTTTCTGTGTTCTTAGTTCTTATGAATGTGTAGATCCTTTTTAGTATTAGCTAAATTAAGATATAAACCACTGGAAAATTTAGAGTTTAGGGTGTTATATATGAGGTGTTATATCTCTTCCTCTTCTCAGGATGACACTGGCTGTGGTGATTCTGTTCCAATTATAAGGCATATTGCCTAAGGCTGGACTAAGACCCAAGCCTACCCCAGCTCTTCTTAATCATTTAGTAGCAGACCCTCCTATTCTTCTATATTCCCAATATCGCACTCGCATAAGATATACCTTTTACTGTTGTGCTGGAATTTGATTTCAATGCCTTCCATAATGTATAAACACATTATACCAGTGAATTGTGCTCCCAAAGTCAGACATATTCCTTTAGAGTTCGCCACATCATCCATCCACATGTAATGCTATTCTTGATATGTTAATATTTATGTAGGCCTTTCAATTGCTATTAAAAATGCATAAAATTTTTACATACATATATATTCCCCTATGGATTTTTGTTTGAATTATGATTCCTTATTATTGCAAAGTAACTTCTGTCTCTTTTACATGATAGTGATGAGTTTCATCATGTACATACATGGTGTGTATAATTGAGTCTTTTAAGTCCTTATGTATATTTTTTATTTTCTCAAATTGTATATATTTCTTTCTTAACATGTATGCCTGTAAAATATTACGTGTAATATATCATATGTGTAAGACATCTACATAAAGCTATGCAGAGTTTCACAATATTTGTCAAGGTGGATAACACTTTGATAAAAATAGATCCTGGAAACCATTTTCCCCCTTTTACTGTGTATCTCTTCCCCAGTATCCATTGCTCCTTCTCCATGCCCTGGGTTTCRTATGCTTGGACCAATGCAGCTATATCCTTCAATGTTATCATGGTTCATATGTACAGTAATTTTTATAAGCATATGCTTCTGCTGGGTAATGATCATGTATTTTCTTTTAATATTTTTTTTTAGTTGTAGTGGAACACAATACCTTTATTTACTTATTTATTTTTATGTGGTGCTGAGGATTGAACCCAGGACCCCTGCACATGCTAGGCAAGTGCTCTACTGCTGAGCCACAACCCCAGCCCCTGATCATGTATTTTTAATAGCCAGTTTCTTTAAGAAATAACAACTTTTACTCCTTCTTTAGTTCATAACGTTTTTTGTCAATATTTTTACTGATACTGTCTCAGAGATGTGATTTTGTCTTTTTTCTGATTTCTAAAGATATTGAGCTATTTTATGATTATTGAACATGATTATTGAAACATTATGT